CTCGGGGCCAAGCACAGCACACACCCTCTTGGCTAGGCCTCAGAGAGGAACAGCCAGGGAGAAGAGAGGTTCAAAGAACTAGAATTTAACTAATGGGTAGTGGCTGGGGGGTCAAGAGCCCCAGAATGGGCCCTGACCCAAACTTGACAAGAGACCCAAGGCTCTGGAGGGCAGTGTTCCTAGTGGAAGGCCAAGAGGCAGCATCCCAGAATCGTCTGCTCTCCATCACGTACATGACCCAGTCCGTGTCCCCCACCCCACCCCTTGAGAAACAGGGAAAAAGGGGTGGAGCACCTGGAAATCTCCCAGAAGCCTCTTTCACGCGCTTCTGGGGGGCGGGGGGGGGGGGGGGGGAAGTAGTCTCCACCTCTAAAGCAGACTCGTCGGTGACATCTGGTGGCTGGTGCAGGTCACAGCCGACTCCGCTCTCCTGGGGTGCTGTTGCAAGCAGCTTCCATGGGGGAAGAGGCCAGGCCCATGGGTGACTGGCTTAGTGTCTCTTTCCGTATGGGTGTAAAGGGAAGGGCAGAGGTGGGTTCATTCCCGTCATGAGTGAGTATGAATGAGAAAGCTTTGGGAGTCTAAGGGAAGCCAGTGTGACCTCGGCCTTGTTGGCTCTCTTGCTCTCAGCCTCCGAATTTGTTCTCAGGCAGTAGGTGGGATGCTCCTCCAAGGTCCTCTCAGAGCTGCATTGTTGCGTGTCTGTGCAACACGCTTCTAGAGCACACCTAACGCAGGACAAGTGGTGTTACCTCGCCCCCTTGCAGTAATTTATTCCCTGCACAAACACCCCTCCCCCAAATCGTCCCTTCCCTCCCTTCCGAGCCCAGGTGAGCGACTTGGCAGGTTTCCGAGAGCCTGGGTTTCTGGCCTTTCCTGTCCCCTCACCTCCTCTAGGGGAGGCTGCCTCTGCCCTGCCACAGTTTTCTGAGTGTATGATGAGGAGGAGTATGGGGAGGTGAATGTTCTAGAAATGAGTGAAGTACAGGGCCCACCTCTTTGGGATGGGGAGGCTCTGGAGGTTTTTGCATCTCCCCAGGGATAGTCACACAACTGCTTTAAGACATCGGATCAGGCTGGGCCCGACAGTCCAGAAATCCCGTTCATAGTCTTGATCTCATTTCTCATCTGCTCATTATTGGAAATGGAGCCCTCTTCACACAGCCTCTTCCCCCCCTTGCTGTGCGAGCTCCTCATTCTTCCCAGCTGCAGCTGGTCTCTCCAAGGCTCCTGCTTAAAGTCAATCCAGTATCACGGCTGAAAGCAACCTGGTGCTACGGCCTGGACACGCCCCCTCTGCATCCACGCACAACCTGCAGCCTCAGCCTCTTTGGTGAGGCCCACAGGGAGCACAGCCCCTGCGGCTGCTAGGGATGGGGGTGGGCACTGATCCGCAGACCCAGCAGTCACACCATCGGCATCCCATTATCCCACCTGGAACATGCCAGCTTCCCACGCTGCTCTCTGCAGCTGCCAGCTCTCTAGAGGGGCTAGAGTTAAACTGCCTTTACAGGAGACAGACAGACAGACAGTGTGCTAGTTTACCTTTGGGTTTAGAAAGCCCCTTCTCACACAAGTTCATTCACTCAGCACCATTGGCAACTACACATGCAGGTGTGTGTGCGCTCTGTACATCTTATCTATTCTCTTAAAGACCATGTTAACTCTGATACAGCTTTCACATTTCGACAAGCTTCATGGCAAAGGAAATAAAGTCATATGGAAAAACACCCAGCATGAACCTGACCATGTGGATGGGTCAAATTCTTGCCACCCCACTCCCTACTTCTTGCTGAGAGATACGTGAAGAAAATATCTTCCTGCAGGGCGGTGGTGGTGCACGCCTTTAGTCCCAGCACTCAGGAGGCAGAGGCAGGCGGATCTCTGTGAGTTCGAGGCCAGCCTGGGCTACCAAGTGAGTTCCAGGAAAGGAGCAAAGCTACACAGAGAAACCCTGTCTCAAAAAAACAAAAACAAACAAAAAAAAAGGGCTGGAGGGATAGCTCAGCCATTAAAGACTAGGCTCACAACCAAAAATATAAGAAAAACCAGAAGAAGAAGAAGAAGAAGAAGAAGAAGAAGAAGAAGAAGAAGAAGAAGAAGAAGAAGAAGAAGAAGAAGAAGAAGGAGAAGAAGAAGGAGAAGAAGAAAAGAAAGAGAAAAAAGAAAATATCTCCCTTAAAAAGTGCTTTTCAGATTTATTTATGTGTATAAGTGTGTAGCCTGTGTGTGTGAGGGTGCACCACACTCATCCTTGTGCTCATAGAGGTTAGAAGATGGCACTGGATCCCCTGGAACTGGAATTATGAATGATTGAGAGCCTCCATGTGGGTGCTGAGAACCGAACCCGGGTCCTCTAAAAGAGCAACAAATGCTCTTAACTTCTGAGTCACATCTTTAGCCTCCAAAATATCTTAAGAAACTCCTAGGAGCCAGGAGTGGTGGTGCACACCTTTAATCCCAGCACTCAGGTAACAGAGGCAGCAGATCTCAGGAGTTTGAGACCAGCCAAGGTGGCACAGCAAGACTTGCCTCAATAAATAAATCTGTAGGAGAGATATACCAAAGCCTTTTCTTAGAGAATGTACCCAAAACTCATAACCTTCATGAAAAAATATTCCTAAAGTCAGACCAGAAATCTAATAGCTCCATTTGAAACGGAAACAGCCAAGTTCTTTCAATGCACAGATATCAAACTGTGGAGTTTCTCAGGGCTCAGAACCAAGGCAGACACCAGAAGACTCATGGTCGGTCACCTTTTCTGCCCAAGAAAAGATCGCAGACTAATTGGGGAAATGCAGTGTGTACGGGAAGTGCCCAGGGCAGACAGCCAAGGACCAAATCATCTGGAAAGGTCTACAGGCCACGCAGAAGTTCAAAATGACAACAGTTACCACGGCTGTCTTTGGAGGGAATTTGGCTACAGAAGGGGGTTTGTGACCCTCCCGGTCTAAGCTATCTTGTGTAGGATGAAAACCGACAGATGCCCTCGCTTCTCCCTCCCTGCCTGATAAGGGCCCGCTTCAGATCAACTGTGCGCCGGGCAGGTACCGGTTAAAAATTCAAGGGTGAGCAATACATGCTCCATCCATGCTTTGGGGGAGTTAGTAACTTGATAAGAGGGTGGGGTGCATCCACGAATTCGGTTTTTTTTTTCTTAATTGTAATGACTTTAACTATAAGCAACCCAGAGTAGACCTACTCTCTCTGCCTGGGAAGTCTCAGTGAGCGGGCTCTAAGGGATCTAGTTTTGCCAGAGGAGAGATGGAGAAAGCATATGACTTGGAGGAAAACAGCGGGAACCAAAAGATAGCAAGCTGGGCTGGAGTCTAGCCCGTGTCAGGGTGGGTAGTGGTTCTCAGTCCTCAGCAGGGAATACAAAAAGGCAGGCAGGTCCCTGAACGTTCTGCTCTCCTCTCCCACTGCCCACAACAGGGCAGCAGCAGGGTCAGCTGGCCAGACTTCTGTGCACACAGCCTGCTGCCTCTGCTCCATGAGCATGGCTCCTGTCTTTCTCCTAAAGGGCAGCGCTTGCCAGGCTCGCGGATCGGGGACAAAGCCCGCCCACCTGCCGCTTCCCACACAGGTCCACATTCCCGTCCACCAACGCCCCCGAAATCCATGGGAACGACCGACCGCAGGCTTGTGAAGGCGGGAATAGAAGCTGGGAGAAAGTGTAGGATGAGTTTTGCCTCGGGGGATGGGGTTGGGGAAAAGCGCGTGGGAGCCGGCGCATGCGCAGTACAGGGCTGGCTGCTCCCGCCTCGAAGTGCGGGGGCGGATGCTCAGGGGAGGTGGGTGACGGACGGCGGGAGGGTGGAGGGGGTGTGTCGCCGAGAGTGGGGATGAGGGTGGGAGCAGGTGGCAGGGGGAATGAATGAACAGTCTCATCTGCATTCCTTGCAGGGACAAATGGCGTGGAGGTGGGAGAGGGGCACGCTCTGGGCTGTCTGCAGGGACCAAGGGTCTTTGGAAGAAAAGAATGGAGGGGCAGGGCCAGCCAAATGTGCCATCTGCTTTGAGGGCGTCCTCCTGGCTTGGGACTCTTTCCTCCCTCCACCCAGCCGAGCTTCTGAAAGCTGTCACTCCCCAGATGGGGGGGATCTCCAAGACAAAACAGCCTTGTTCTGGCAGGTGGCCTCTTGGGTTGCCGGAAGCCCCTTCTCACACCTGCTGAGGCCTCCTCGGGGTCTGGCTATTAGGTGTGCCCACTCACCTGGCATCAGAAGCCAGGCATGGGTTTTGCCAAGGCCATCTGTTCTGAGGGCACAGAGTCACCGTGTTCTTAGGATTCCTGGGGTGAGGTTGAAAGAAGATGAGCCTTGTGAACCTAGAAAACACTCAAAATGTGGTGCTGGCCTTGGCCGTGGGTGGCCTTGACCAATCACTTCCCCTCTTTGGCCCTCTGTCTCCTCCTCTACAGTAAGGAGTTTGAATAGATGCTCTTCAGGGGACCTCCCGGACCTGAGATTCAGGGTGTGGTCAGAGGCGAAGAGAAGAGAGTGGAGAGCGGCACCGGGCAGCAGAATCAGGATGATGTTCTCCAGCTCCTGCCCTCTGGGGATATCTGGGGCATATCCCAAGGAAAGATGGGACCCTTGGGAAGTGGGGGAGGGGAAGGGTTAGGTTCTGGCCAGAGGCCATGCACAATGGCACATTGCCTTGGGTTTTGTAAACCAAAATCCGGCTCCTGTCCTGGTCATTTCTCCCTACAGGAGATAGAGAACTTCCTGTCTTGTACTTGGTGGCCACTGAAGTTGAAGTTGGTCTTCAAATTCTACCCGACTCCCTGTTTCCTTTGCATGCCAGAGCCCTGAAAACTTCCTTGGTGGTTTTGCTTAATAGGATTCCCAGTGCTCTGTGGGTAGGGCTCGTTGGGGTGCCCCAGTCCAGGCCCTTTTCTCTTTGGATTCCATCTATGAAGTCAAGTCTCATCATTCCTGGGGGGGAGCGCGGGGGGGCGGGGAGGGGGCCCGGCAAGCTCCATCCCTCCAGAAAACCTCAGTTCAGCCTTCTGGAAAACTCCTTATCTGACTGACCAACCCCCAAAGACCAGAGAAGAAGGGGGTGTGGAGAGCCATGGTGTGTGTGTGTGTGTGTGTGTGTGTGTGTGTGTGTGTGTGTGTGTACAAAGAATTCCTGTTCATTAAGTGAAGAAATGGGATTGGGGACCCCCTGAGGAGACAGGAAGGAAACAGCAGGACATCTCAAAGAATGGGAAATCTAATTAGACACGTGACTCCCTGGTCCAACTGCTTGTCCTCGCCCTGTCCAATAGATGAGGGTGTGTCTAGCTGTCCCCTAGCCAGGCAGGCAGTCATCCTCTCCATCGGAGCCTTCATCCTCTTGGAAGTTGCAGGGCCAGGTGGATCCAAAAGCACCTAAAAGGTAAGGTCCAGGGTTGGAGGCCTCACACATGCTGGCATGCAAATAAAGGACAGAGTCAGGGCAGGAACTCAGTGGAAAGGATGGAGAGTCCAAGACTCTAATCAAAGACGCTGGAAGAGGTTTCTGAGTGGTCGGCGAACTGCCTTGGGAATTGCTTTCAAGAGCATTATTTTGGTTTGGAGTGGGGGGAAGGAACCACACCTTTTACTACTGCTGGGGACTTACCCTGAGTCCAGCTGAAATTAAGAAGGCACCTGTGCAGCTGGCTTTAGGAGGACCGTGTGGTCACATACTGGCATCAATGGTACAGGCACTTCAGGACCCACAGCACACAGGGTCCTCCACCTGTCTGCACAGATGTGAGTACGCTGCACAGACGCTTGTGCTCATATGCACATCATGTGCTCGAAGTTACCCATGTGCACACACATATGTTGTACATGGATATGTCCATAGATAGCTGCCAGCTTTCCTGATGGGAAAGCACTCGCACAACCATACACAGACTCTCTGGTTTAAATATGTTTCTAAAACGTTACATTTCTAAGTCTATTTTATGAGCTAATGTCCTTTTACATTGTATGTCAAATTATAAGACTTGTCTCTAAGTTGACTGGGGGCTCCTAAAGTGGGCTGGGCCTTATTCATTTCCACACCTCCAAAGGCAAGTCCAGAGACTGCAACTCAGTAGACAGCCCATAAATGTTTAAATGATACGTGAATGAGTGATCTTAGAGTCACCACAAGTAGGGCTAGGAAGAGAGGGCTCCCTGAGTAGCGAGCTTGCCTAACATGCATGAAGCTCTGGGCTCGGTACGCAGCATCTCACACACCAGGCGTGATGGTGCTCACCTGTAATCCCAGCACCTGGGAGGTGGAGGCAGGAGGGTCAGAAGTTCAAGGTCCTCCTCCACTACATAGCAAATTTGAGGCCAATTTAGGGTACATGAGACCCTATCACAAAAACAAAAACAAAAGGAAACAAAAGTCTCTTTAGTGTGGTTTCTCTAAAGCTAATTTTTTTTGACGAAGAGTTTTGTTCTGAATACGCGGTTGTTTGCTAGAGGATATCTGTGCAAATGCACACGTGTGTCCAGTGTGCAGGTGAGTGGACAGGGGACTTTTGTAAGCACGTCTGTGGTGAGATGAGTGAGCCAGCCTGTGGAAGCTGCCTGTGGGAGCCTGAGTGACTGATTCCCACACTGTGAGCTGCAGTGAGTGATGGCTAAAGATGCCTCCAGACACAGCCTGGTCTTTAAGGAGCCTTAGTAGGATAAAAACGCTGAGTAAACTTGTGTGGTGGAGGGCAAGAGTGAGCAAGCATGTGGGCCGGAGGTTGGGTAACTTTGGGCCGTTCCCACAAAGCACTAGAGAGCTCAGATCCCAGCCCTTCTACCACCTGCCCACAGGATGGACATCAACGGGATGTACACTCCTTTCCTCCCCCAGAACCCCATGAGGCTCCTGGCTTTCCTATGCCTGCTGACCCTGGTGCTGCATGAGGCTGGAACAGCTTCCCTCCCAGGGGAGAGGAAAAGAGAAGAGCATGGCCCTGAGGAAGGAGACACTTACGAATTTCTGCATGCGGGGAACTATGCCCTGAGCCTAGAGGACTACGGTGAAGTCATTGACCTGAGCAGTTATGAGGAACCTGCTGACTATGGGGACCAGATCTCTGAGGTGAAAGGACACAGTTGACTCGGATTCCGTGAAAGAAATGGGATTAGGAGCCAGCTCCCTTTCCGCCTGCCCTATAAGACGAGTCTCTCAAGCCTTCAGCTCTTTCTCTATATGATGCAAACTCGTGTGTGTGTGTGTGTGTGTGTGTGTGTGTGTGTGTGTGTGTGTTAATTACTATGTGTGCACATGTTCAAGGAAGCCAAAGGACAGACAGCCTGTTGCTCCTCTGGAGCTGTCCATCTTCTTTTAAGACAGGATCTCTCACTGGTCCGGAGCCTGTCAAGTAAGCTAGGCTGGCTGGCCAGCAAGCCTCCCCAGCACTGAGATTGTGAGCATTAATCACAGATCTGGAAAAACACAAACAAACAAGGGTTCAGGGGGATCAAATTCACGACCTCATCTTGCAAGGGAAGCACTTTCCAACAGGGCTAGCTTCCCAGGCATGAGGTACAAATTCTTTTTTTTTTTTTTTTTTTTTTTTTT